TCCGAGGAGGGTTGTCTGTAGTGATGCAGTGATTCACTGAATGAATGAATGAATGAATGACAATGATCCATCGATGATCATTGATTGTTGACTGACAAACAAACACATAATCGTGTGACGCGAGAGAATGACAGAGTGATTCGTTCGTTCATGTCTCATCCAGCGGCCCGTCCCATTGCAGAATCACTGTCATTACACTGATGTATGAGACCTCTAAAGAGGAGCAGAGCGATCACAAGAGCGCACTCTGAAGTCTGTTTTATCATGAGAAAAAGTCCGTTTCAGGTGATAACGAATTCCTAAACACGTCCCGGGACATGCCAATCTGGCCTGTTGAGGTTGTTCGTTGAGCCTCCCGTCGGTGGCATTCTGCTGTTCGCTCCCGCCTGCCCACTGTGGCACACCCCCCAGCAGCCCGAGGATGACAGGGATGACAAACACTGAGCCATCTTTCCCCGACCAAGTTGCGGCAGCCCGAACAGGAATATCGCAATAAAAGGTTTGCGCGAAAGATGTCACCGTGCGCAATCCCGAGCTCATGCGGGAAAGCCAGCATGAGGACGGACTGGTAGAGGACGGCTTTGATGTCGGCGTCAAGCAGCACTGTGCTGGTCATCCACTTGTCCGCCGACTGGTACCCATCGAGCAGCTCCAGCTGTAGCCACTGGTCGCCCCGCCCACGTGCTGCTGTGGTCGAGGCGATGTGGTCGGGGACGTCGACAAGGTCCGTTGCGCAAACACTCCATCTTTCCCCGAACGAGATGCGGCGGACCGAACGGAGGAATGCCCAGACCCAAAAGAATTCCGAACCAGCTTGGCGAGAAAGCGAAACCGAGCCAGCATTTAAACAATTTCGCTGGGGTCGTTGCGATGCATTCAAAGAAGCGCAAAGGCGGCGCTGGTCCCCTCTCTGCCGCCGCTGACGAGTCACCCCTCGAGACATTCCCCTCTTCGGCTGGCCATCGCTCGACAAGAATGTGTCCAGTGCACTCGAAGCGCTCAGCGCCATCGAAGCGGCCATTCAACAGGCCCGCCAGCAGCTGCAGGGGGAGGTCAGTTCGACGCGTCAGCTCATCGAGAGCAACGGCGGCCGGCTGCCGAAGAAGGTGAGCGGGGAGGTGGAGATCAACGTGGGAGGGACGGTGTTCACCATCGCAAGGAAGAATTTGGTGCTTGAGGGTGTTAATGAGACGAACTTCGCCCGTTTGCTGCTGTACCATCTCGAATGGCTGCCTGAGGACGATGAGGGACGGCCCTTTCTCGATGCATACGCCCCATACTTCACATGGTACAATGCACACACGAGGATCGGATGGCGAGGGAAAAATCAGCTCGGCTGCATCCGGCTGTGTTGTGCCAGGTTGGTTGATCAGCTGGACGTTGTCGCCTCAGCCAACTCGCAGGGCGTGCGCCGTGACGCATCCGACATCGAGCTCGACCCTCCCCACGACACAGATCCCTCTTTCGTGTGCTACCACGAGCTGTTCTTCACCACCCAAGACGAGTATGAGATGGAGGTGGACGACGATTTCAACTTCGATGAGGACGACGAGGAGGAGGGCGAGGGCAAGAAGGCGCTGAAGGGGGTGCGGGGCAATGTCGGCACATTCCGCGAGGCTCTGCGGGGCCTCAAGGCTTCAGAGAAGGGCATCCAGCGCTTCTACGAGAAGATGGCGCCATTCTTCAAGTATGGAGATCCCAAGCAGACAACTGTCTGACAACACGAGTACAAGCCTGTCAGGTCGATTCGTTTTCCTGTGGCCATCAGGTCTGATGGTGAGGAGGGTCGTGGCGATGGGGATGATGTCATGAGTGTGACGGTGATGCCGCGGGGCGAGACCGTCGCCACCACACAGGCCACCCTATCGCAGCTGGGGCAAAACCACCTCCTGCATAAGAGATTCTCTACGTAAGCAGGCCGAGGGAAGGAAGATGGGGAGCACAGGTGCGCATCCATTGAGTTTGTGTTGTGTTTCCAGGCGTGCTGATGGATGGGGCACACTGCCGGTCAAGCAGACGAGCAGCGAGCACTTCCAGAAGATCCTCGACTTCGCCCGCAGACGGCGGCTCGCTCCACGCGGCACCGTCATCGAGGCCCCCGCCACCGTGGCCCGCAACCGAGGCCCGCTCGATCGCGACCTGCAGATGTATTCGATGCCCGTGGATGACGCCTACAAGTCGTTCCTGGGCAAGGACGAGATGCGCAAGCTGCTCGCCTTCACCGAGAAACACAAGCCCATCAAGAAACTACTCTACTCGTAAGCCCCGCCATACACAATGCACGAGGCAGCTTGCATTGGATTCCTTATCATGCATGTGCCAGGTCTGTCCGTGATGGCTCGGACGCGGACGCGATGCGCGACAGGATTGACGGTAAGGAGGGCCTCCTCGTGGCCATCCAGGGCAAGAAGAATGGCGAGACGCAGCGCCAGCAGTTCGGCGCCTTCATCAACGGCCGCATTCATGAGAGCATTGCGGAGATGAAGGAGGCCAACACGCTGCCGTCTTTCTTCTCCTTGGATGGGGAGACGGGCGAGCCGGTGAAGATGGACATCATAGAGAAGCTGGGGGAGGCCGCATCCGAGAACAGCGAGGGCGGGGAGCCGGCGGCCGTCACCCATGGGGTGGTGATGATGGAGTTCTTCCCGTCTCGTCTGACGATGACACATGCCATTCTCCCTGACGGCAGTGTCACAGGCGGCGGCTTCTTCGCAGAGCAGCAGCTGAACGCCACAGCGGCGGCGATCACGACCGTCCCTCGATTTGATCCAGCCAGCGCAACCAATTCCATCTTCGCGGAGCCGTGTGTTGAGATATGGCAGGTGAGTCCAGCGGGTGGCATGGGAGCGAAACGAGGAGTAACTCACATGGTTGTGTCTTCTGTGTCGGCCAGGTTGGGAGCAGACAGGACTGATACCACTTCAAAAACAACATCGGCCGCGCCAAGGTCAGGAGAAAGCGATGGAATGGAATGGATGAGTGGGTGGGTGTTCACTCTCGTTTCTTTGGTTGGCTGCAGCTGCCGGCCCTGACTGATCGCAGTTGAGACACAAGCAGACTTGGCTTTTCCCCAGCCCACAGACCGACCCATCAGACCGATGCGCTCTTGCATGATGGACTGCATGCATGTCATATGCATATGAAATGGAAGACACGCTTTATGAATGTCCATTGCTGGCAATAGAGCCCTTTGCCGTCGGTGCCCTCCATTGCCAGCAATAGACCCTCATTGCCGGCAACTGACCTCCTTTGCTGGCAATAGACCCTCATTGCCAGCAATGGAGGCAATGGAGGTCCCCCATTGCCAGCAATGGAGGTGCATTGCCAGCAATGGACGTCCATTGCCAGCAATGGACGTCCATTGCCAGCAATGGAGGTCAGTTGCCGGCAATGAGGGTACATTGCCAGCAATGGAGGGCACCGACGGCAAAGGGCTCTATTGCCAGCAATGGACATTCATGAAGCGTGTCTTGTGGGTGTTGTGTATCCATTGGTTCTCCATCCCATCGATGATCGTCAAGCGTTGTGTCTCTTCCATGCATGTACAGTGCTTGTGGCCCATTCCCGCGATTGACCGGCGTGTATTGTCACGTTGACGGCAGAGCGCTTCCTGTGCGCCCTTCCGTCAACGTGACACCTCCGCTCATCAATGGCAGGAATGGCCCACCGACAAATGGCAAATCATCTCTCACTTCTCTCTTTCGCACTTCATTCACACACCACAATCGATTAACACACACACAGATGCACAGCCGCGTTTTGGTCACGCCCCGATCATCGAGACCATCCCATCAGGCAGGGGTGGGGGGACGGGGGGACCCTCCAGCACCGATTGCGGGTCCTCGAGGAACCGCATCCGCAGCTGCTTGGCCTCGTTGAGCTTCTCCTTCTGCCTTTTCTCTGCCATCCGTTCTTGGTACGCCGCCTCCTCCTCTTCTGTCGGCTCGCGATAGAGGTTGTCCTCAATCCACCTGCACCAACACATACACATACGCATACAAACAAAAGGACAGATACCTTACCGGCCTCTCTCTCTCTCTATCTCTGCTCACTTGTCGTATCCTCCAGGGTAAGTTCTGATCCACAGAGGGAGCCCCGTGCCGTCCTCTGAGAACTCGGGCTTGATGAGCTGCCTCTTGGGGGGAATCGGGTACATGACCGGCTCGTTGACGCCGTAGAACTCGAGCACGTCGAGGCTCTCCACGTTGCCCATCGATTTGGCGTACCACGCGGGCGTGTAGCCGTACTGAAATGGAGAGAAAGAGAGAGAAGGTCTTTGGGGGAAGGGGGATGTGTGTGGTGCTTACGAAGTCAGTGTCGTTGATGCGCTGTGTGCTCCGTTGGGCGAGCATGTTGAGGATGGTGTCGTAGTTGTAAATGGCCGCTATGTGGAAGGCCGTCCGATTGTACACATCCTGACACACACACACACACACACACACATCGAGGGAGGCACATGGTGGCTGCAGTGCACTGCAGCGCTGCACCTGATGGTTGACGTGCTGGTCCGCCTCTGGGTCGTTCCTCAGCAGATAGTCCACCAGGTGCGCATCGCCACTCTCTGTCGCATGCATCAGGGGCGTCCATCGCATCTAAACACAGACACATGACGAGCAAGCAGAGAGAGTAGACACACGGCCTGGTCTCTGCTTGCTATGTGTGCTTGGTCGTTCCCTGCTGAGCTGACCCGGAGTGCACACCCCAGCCGGAGTCGATCTTTGCCTTTGTCCCAGTCCAACAAGTCTTCGATATCATAACTCTGCACGGAGGTCGACAGCAGACAGCCAAACGATGCATGGATGGATGGATGGATGCCATCACGCTTTCTCACCGGTGCGAGATTGAACGTCTGCCTGGCGCCTTCGTTGCCCCACATGGCCTTCTCAAGCTGAACACACAACACACAACACACAGAATGCATCCACCCTGCTGCCAGGTGGGCATCCACCCCTTCCTCCCTCCCTCCCTCTCCATCTCACGCAATCGAAGTCGTGCAAGCGAGCCCCCTTGTCCTTCAGCATCTGCAGTATGGCCAGCTTGGTCTCGGTGGACGTCCGCTCGAAGCCGATGGGCACGCGGCCGTCGCCTTTTTCCCCTTCATCCTGGCCCTCGCCTTCAGTGCCGGTGGGCGTGATGCCGCCCGCGAGATCGGGGTTGTCCAGCTGGCAGACGATTGACACGGCAGACTTGCCCGACTGCCAAAAGCCAAAAGCCAGCAGAGAGAAGAAAGAACGATATCATTGTTGGATGGGAAGGATCTCTGCGCGTGTGTGTGTGTGGCGTCGTCTCACCTGGTCAGTGAGGTTTGGGTCTGCTCCGCTGTCCAGCAGCTGCCTGATGGCCTTGACGGCAGGCACACCGCTGTAGACGCCACACGCTTGCATCAGGGCTGTGTCGCCAGCCTAATGGACAGATACACAAACACGCACACACAAACATTCTTGTCTCTCCCTCTCCCTCCCTTATTCCCTTACCGCGTTTTGCTGGTTGACACGAGCTCCCTTGGCCAGGAGCATGGCCACGATGCCGTCGTCCTCGCCCTCCTCGGCCTCATTCTCATGCAGCTTGTTGCTCTCAAATGTGGCCATCAGCAGGGGCGTCCGCCGGTCCTGAAGCGGTGAACACACACACACACACACACACAGACACACAGACACAGATGTACTTCACGTGTCTAGCAGAAGCCTGTGTGTGCCTGGTGAAACGTACGTTGTCCTCTGTGTCTGGTTTGGCACCAGCGTCGAGGAGCAACTTGACAACCTGACACACGAACCCGGAGCAAGGTTGTGAAGGATGGGCAGCTGAATGTGATGTGGTGTGATGTGATGTGACGCCGGTGTAGCTGATCACCTTGGTGTGGCCCTTGCCCGCCGCCCGATGCAGAGGGGAGAGCTTGTTCTACAAAAGGGAGGGAGAAACAATCGCCACACGGATGGATAATGGATACCCATCATCAGGTCGGCAATCGACTTTCTTGTGCGTACAGACCAGGTCGAGTTTATTGACGTTTGCGCCCCTCTTGATGAGCATCTCCACCACCTCCCACACGCCCCAGTGACACGCGTAGTCCAGACAACTACGATTGTCCTGCCACAAGGCACACACGCCATACACACATGATTGCCCACTTCGGGCACAATCGGCTCGGGTGGATGCGTGTACCTTGTCAGTGGTCTGGAAGTCGGCACCAGCGTCGAGAAGCAGTTCAGCGATCTGCGGAGACACCAAGAGAGAGGCACAGATTTGTTTTCCTGCATCAGATCTAATGTGATGTGGCTGTCCATAGCGCACCTGTGCGTATCTCTGTCGGACTTGTGGGTCTTGTGTGGTCTCTCTGAAGGTGATGAACCGCATGTCATGGCCGGCCTCCAGGTACGTCAGCCACCGGTGCGTCGGCCACAGACACACGTAGTCGAAAGCGCTGCGACCCATCTGACCCGAAGGAAGCCATGAGTCAGCGTGCCTCATGACGATCCGTCTTGTTGGTGCATCGTGTGTCGCGTACTTACCTTGTCTCGGCGGTTGACGTTGAGAGTGGACCTGAAGTCGCCTGTCGCTTCTTCGGTGGTGCTGGTGCTGATGCTGGCGCCCTCGTCGGTGTCCTTCCTGACGATGGCTTCGTTGTAGGTCATCAGCCGTTTCAGCATGGCGAGCTCGCCAAAGATGGCGGCATACGTCAGGGCGTCCCTACCACCATCCTGCACACGAGGCGCACACAAGGAGACTCATTTGACGCCGCGCTTGAGCAACGTGTATGTGTGTGGGGTGGGGTGGTTACGTCAGTGCGTGTGGGGTCGGCTCCCCTGTCCATGAGCAGGTCGAAGATGGCCCGGGAGCCCTTGGAGATGCTGCGGTGGAGCGGGGAGATGCCCTCATCCTGACAGACAGACAGACAGACACCATCCACACACATACATGGTTGTGTGTGTGTGTGTGTACCTTGTTGGTGTTGTAGTTGAGGTCAGCCCCCAGGTCCAGCAGCAGCCTCACCATCTTGATGTCCACATTGTCAATCGCATGGTCCAGCGGCCGACGATTACTCTGCACACAACCATACCATCCCATACATGGAGCCATCGCACGCACCCATATTGGCACACACACACATGCATACCTTATCTGGCGTGTCTGGGCTGATACCTCCCGCCCTGATCCACCGCTCGGCGAAGCCATAGTTGGACGCATTTACAGCCTGCACGACAAGCATGCACATGGCACATGAGGACACACGCAGCCGAAAGGTGAGGCGGTCTGTCGACAGCAGTTCTCACGTCGTTAAGCGGCTCTCCAATGCGGTTCTCGAGAGCCAGCTCTTCTGGCGTGGCTGCAGACAGGCACACAACGGAATGCAGCTGCGCGTGTTGTGTATGTGTGTTGGGTGGCGTACGGATGTCCTCAGGCCCCTGTGTGATGAAGTAATTATAGGGGTCCCATATCTCATTCAGAAAGTGCTCGTAAGGCCACCTGTCGCGAATCATCCACGCTTAACTCACACACACAATATCGACACAGACACAATCGACACACGCACACACACGCGCGTGCGCTCACGCAAACAGGACCACCCCCCGTGTGTGTCGCGTACCTCCCTGGCCCTGGGTGCCTCCGCTTGACGCGATGTCTGTATCTCCCGTGCTGTCGCCTGTGGTGGGGTTGAACTTGCCCGCCAGCTTGCTCGCCTGAGCAGACGCCGCCATCCGCTTCAGCTCCGTCAATGTGGACGTCCTGCACACAGACACACAGCAACATACACACACATCACCACCCAGATCTGGCACCCATCGGCCGCCATGCTGTTCGTCACCTCTTCTCTCGCTGCTTCCGTGGCACTTCCGGCACTTGTATGGGCGGCAGGGTCTCCACAGCTGACGACTGCATCACCGTGCTGCCTCTCCTCGCCAGCCGCTGCCGCAGCGGCGATGCATTGAGGATGAAGGCAGATCTCGATGAGTCGTGGTGGTGGTGGTAGGCGAAGGACAGATCGTTGCAGAGCAGGACAGAGATGGCGGCAAGCATCAGCGCCATTGAGCGAGGGATCTGCTGCAGTGGCTTCAACACATCGCCGCTTGTGCCTGTGCCTGGGGAGGGATCACTCGCCTCATGCGGCTGCGATGAATCGCGATGATCTATCATCCACCTTTTTCCTCCAAACTGCCGAGATTTGCGAGCTTTGAGCTTGCAGAGAAGGAGTCATTCTGCTCATTCTGAGCTTAGCGAGGCTAGCGAGAGCATTAGGGTGACACAGACGGTCACCTCTGTTGATATTCGCTGAGTTTGAGAATCGGCACTCATCCCATCTGCCGCTGTTATACCGCTCTCGCCAGCAGATCATCACATCCGCCGTGAAGTGCCCGTCGGCCGCCACCACGGGCACAGCAGGCGGCATCCACAGGCCAGCAGAGGAGATGAGCGGCCGGCCGGCCGATGCTGCTCAATGCCGGCGGCTTCGTCATGGCGTTCCCTCGGGATGTGCTGCTGTGCGAGGGGCTGCGGGACACCTGCCTGGCGGTGCTGCTGAACCGCTTCGACAGCTGGATGATCACAGACGACAATCGCATTCACTTCATTGACGCAGACCCCTTCTACTTCATCTGGTGAGGGGGAGGGAGGGAAGCAACACGATGGCTGACAGGCAGCAGCACTCCCCGTGTGTGTGTTCAGGTTGGCTGTGAAGCTTCGTTACCTGAGCTGCAGCCGCATCGACGTGAGTGAGATCATCGAGGGCTGCCCCGCACTGGCCTTCTACCACGACCGATTCTTCGCCAAGACGGCCGTCACCATCGAGCCGCAACACGGTGACCACGACAGCGAGGCGTTCCGGGGCTTCATGGCCGTCATGGGGCCGTTCATCAGCTCATCGGTGGCGGGCGGGACGGGCGGCAGTGAGGTGCTGAGTGTGCCTGTGGCGGATGGCGGTGTGGTGGCCACGACCGACGCGACGCTGGCCGACTACAGCATACTGCACGACCGATTCATCAAGTAGGTCTACAGGCGGAGATGAGATGGCGTGGTGGTCATCTTGGGCACCGTGTGTGTGTGTGTGTGTGTGTGTGTGCAGGTATGGGCCCGTCGCGGATGTGTCGGCAGACACCTTCCACAAGTAACACACCACAGCAGCAGCCAGGCGACACACGAAATCTCCATGTGTGTGTGGTGTGTGCAGGGTGGTGGATTACGTTCGTCGCATTTGGTTGGCCCCCGACGCCGCCACGCCGCTGCCGACGAGCAGTTGGCCTGACGAGCTGCTGTATGCCTGTGACATGTACGGCCTCATGGAGCCGGTGTACCTCTCGATGATCGGCAAATCCCACAGCCACATCAAATGCCTCTTCAAGTGAATCACAACACACATTAGGGGGGACGCAGGAGGGAGATGCCATGTGTTGATTTGGGTGCCTTTGTGTGTCAGGAGTTCGTCTGACGGCGGAGAGTTTGGCACTCTGGTAGAGCGAGTGGCGGGTGTGAGCGGCCTGCTGTTTGTCATCGAGGACGAGAAGCAGCACACCATCGCCTGCCACATCGACGGGCCCCTCAGCCCCCCGGCTGACCCCACATCAGCACTGCTCACCGGCTGCCCCATGACCTTCTACTCCATCAATGGGCCATTTGAGGAGGGCGGCATCGCCAAGATCACCGTGCCGCCTGGCGACCAGCGGGTGATGGTCGCCGGCACAGAGGGGGCGGTGATTGGCACCAAGGGCGGGGCTGGCAAGGTGTCCATCGGTGGGGGCCGCCTGTGGCTGGGGTATGGGAAAGGTAGTCCGGGTGGCGACCTGCGCAGCTGCAGTCATTGGGTGGAGAGGGATGAGCTGCCCGACGACAAGACGTACGTGGGCACCTTCGACGAGGAGGGACGGGCCACCCTGGCTGCCAGCCACTACTTCACAGCCCAGCGACTGGAGGTCTACCAGGTCAGACCGACACATCAAGTGGACGAACGTCATCATGTCGATGTGACGTCTGTGTCCATGTGCGTCTGTGTGTGTGTGTGTCTGTTCAGGTGTGCAGCACTCTCCCGGCCGACCACTTCCTCCCCGCCTATGACCTGCAGGCCCTCATCGACACGACCCGCCACATAGGCATGACCGCACAGCTGCTCTACAAGTGGGTCAGCCAAAGATGGGCCGCCGGCAGTGACGTGATCATCGTATCTCTCTCCTGTCTGTCCGGCTGTGTCAGGGGCGAGCGTGACGGCTGGGCCCACACAACCATGGCGGCCAAGGTGGGCGAGGCGGCCGACCTGCTGATGCTCTTCAAAGACACCGGCAGCCACACCTTCGCCAGCCACATCGAGGGACAGCTCAAGCAGCCGGCCGACCCCACTCGAGTGGAGACGACACTCTGCCCCGTGACCCTCTACTCCATCAGTGGCGCCTTCGAGGAGGGCGGCATCACCAAGAGCACCGTGCCACAAAACAAGCAGGGTGTAATAGTAGCCGGCACAGAAGGGGCGGTGAAGGACAGCAAGGGTTGGGCTGGCAAGGTAGCCATCGGTGGCGGTCGCCTGTGGCTGTGGTTGGGGATTGGGGAGGATGGGCGGCCGGCTGGCGACCTCCGCCGCTGCCATCAGTTGGTGGAGAGGGATGAGCTGCCCGACGACAAGACGTACGTGGGCAGCATCAAAGAGGACAGATGGGCCACCTTAGCTGCCAGCCTCTTCTTCACGTGTGTCGATTTGGAGATCTACACACTGCAGGTCAGAGGGGCGGAGGGCGGCACATGAGTGTTTCCCCTGTGGTGATTGTGCTGGGCTGTCTCTGTCTCTCTGTGTTCAGGTGCCGGATGGCTGGCAGTGGCTGAGTGCGGTGGCCGACATCGTGCTCTCACAATCGACATGAGTGGTGAGAGCTGTCTGTCGAGGGGCCGGCGGAGGGAATGAATGGGCAAATTAGCGGCTGTATTTGTCCAGTCGGCAGGCGTCGGATGCCCACGGCTATGCATCGGATGTGACGCTGTCCTTATGCAGCTGCGCCGTGGTGTCACTCGTGTGCCACTCGTGTGCTGCATGGCTGCCTGCATTCTGCCCGCTTGAATAGACATGCCATCCAGGGAGAATCCGTTGAAGGCTGCCACACGATCGATGTGCCGTGCCAGGGAGGTCACACAGAGACAGACAGCCTTGCCGACCCTTGCCGACAGGCCCGGTGGCCAGGAGGGCGTTGTTGACAAATATATGGGAAAGACCATGCAGAATCGGCGCGTGTGTATGTGATGGTCAATTCGTCACTGTGGGAATCGGTCGATCGAAACTGGACACCTACTAGAAACAACACCAACAGTCGTACAACCAACGCACGACCCAACACTTCTCCCAAGCCACGCTGCACAGCACCCACCCCATCTGCTCATCACACCCCGTCTGTCTACACTGCTGCCAGCTGAGCGACTCATCGGCCGCTCACTCTGTCTATTCTACACCGCCTCTGTCCTGCGGATGGCGAAGTCGGCCACGATGCCGTAGTGATCCGACACGATGCTCTGTCGGTCCTTGAAGATGACGCTCGCCGACAGCAGCCGCAGCACCGATGAGGCGTGCAGGCCCCTGGACGACTTGCCCGACGGGCTCGGGGACTCCGCCCACGGCACAGCCTGCCACGAGAGAGAGAAAGAGAGAGTGAAAGGCACACACGATGAATGCAGTACTTGCAGGGAGAGAAGGAAGGCCAGCGGCGTCGTGTGTGTGTTTTTTGGGGTGTTTTAGTTACATACCTGTCTGTAGACGATGTAGTCGTTTCGCTGGTCTGGTTCTGCCAGCCAGCCCCTGGTGAGTGGGTTGTCGCCGCTCCACGAGCACTCATGTCGGCCGCACTCGATCAGCGCATCCTTCCACACATCGCCATCGCCGCCCTCACCCTGCAGCATTTCCTGCATCTCCGGCTGGTCTACGTCTGCGTTGGTGTCGGCGCAGAGAATCACCGGCACACACCCGTTGCCAGTGATCGTCCGCACCAACTCACGCACCTGATTGACCACACAGCAGAGCGCAAAGAAAGAAAAGAACACCATTCATTCAGTCCCCTCTCTCCCCATGCATCTCTCTCTCCCCATCCACATTTCCATGCCCCACCTGGTAGATGCGGTTGGGATGCGCCACTCCGATGGCCAGTGCCGAGCAGGCAATCTTGACCCTCATGGCTGAGTGCTGCGGCTCTCCGTGTGATGAGCGGGGGGCAGGGGGGCCTTGGGAAGCCGGAAACAGAGGGCCGAGCGACTGCGGCAAGCCGTGTGTGCGCTGCGAGAGGGTGGCGAGGATGAAGCCGCGAGGGCGGAAGAAGCAGGTCTCGGCCACACAGCCGAAGTACGAGTACAACACCGTCTGCAACACGTACGCAATCCTTCCTCCATCTCCATCCGTCCATCTCTACTGGTCCCCCACCCACCTGATATGTGAGTGCCTGGATGGTGACCTCCTCAACCGCGAATCGCGATGACCGCACGAGCACCAGCAGGCCCAGGCAGTCATTGCACGATGCCCAGGGGAAGGCGATGGCCCGCACGCGAGGAGGGAGGCAGCAGGTGACGACGCAGCAGACGCTGGACAGCACGGGCCAGACGTACTTGAAGACCAGGTTGCTGATGGGCTGCAGGATGGAGAAGCCGTGCCGGCCCAGCTGGTGTGCTGAGATGGGCGTGTAGTCGGGAAACCCTTCGATGTACCGCTTCTGCACCTGGACGTCAAAGCACTCCTGAACAAACAGCAAGACAGACAGGAAGGACAACACACGACACGCAGAATGGCAATGGCATGGCATGAGATCTGTGATGTTTGTTCTCCCTCGGCCTTGGTTCTTCCCTCCCTCCCTCCCTCCCTGTCACCTGCAGGCTGATGACGTCAGCGTTCTGTTCGCGGATGAGCTGGATCTGCTTCGAGAGGCGGCTGTCGTCCATCATAAACTTGCCGCAGAAGACGTTGAGCGTGAGGACGCGCAGAGGCACACCCTCGTCGCTGACATCGGACGCCATCGCCTCGTCAGCCGAGGCGTCTACCAGACAGGCTCTGCTACTTCAGGAACGCATTTTCCAGCTTGCAGACTCTCAGTGAGCCTCTCAAGTGCTTTAAGATAGAGACTGAGCCTCTTCGCGGGGACACCAACTTGCGAGCTTAAGTCAGCATCAAGAGTTTACGCTTGGCCATTGTTTTCCTCCGTGTGTGATGTTGAAGACGTGTATGGTGTCACTTGCTGCTGTGGTATTGACGGCTGTCGCCTACTTCGGCGTGCAGGTTCATCATGCGACCAGACAACGGCTCCTCAGCGGCCTGGCACATCGTCCTGCTCCGTCATCGGGGAATGGACACAACTTCACAGCAAGGGGCTTGCTGCGCGGTGGACGGATTATGCTGCAAGACAATGGTGGTGCGTCGGAATCGGAGATTCCTGGTGGAAACACCAGCGCTTTTGAGATGGCCTACACGGATTTCTATAACAGACCCATCCCTTCCGCACTCGTCGACAAGTGGTGGCTCTATGCAGAATCACACAATTGCTCAACGGAGCCCAGCCACTATGCCAACGTGGACCATCAGCTGGAGTCTTTTCGCAGCCAGCAGACCTACACAAGGCCCGGCATCACCAATGAGATGGTTGAGAGCGCGGCAAACGCACAGAGGACTGTTCTCTGGCAGGTATGATATATGGACTCGGGAAGAAAAAACTACCAAAGACAAACGATCGTTTTGTGTCAGGTGAAGAAAGGCGAGTTATCTCATGTGCGAGGGGACGTCTACTTCTGGGGGAGCGGCCCCTGGCGAAACGAGCTTCTTGGGCCGATTGCAGCACTGTTGCCGGACATGCTGATAGCGACGAATCTCCTAGATGAGCCACGCGCCCTGCGGCCGGCGAATGAGAGCATCGAGCGGCCTGGTCGAGTGGCCTTTGTGGGCGGGAGCGCTGCTGAGGCCATCAGGCCATCCTGCCCCAACGAAACGGCTTTATATGAATCAACCGTTGGCTTCTTCGTCAGCCCTGCCACGTTCGATGCCCGCCGCGGTCTGCTACCCATCCTCTCTCGCACGCGCGTGTCGCCATGCTTTGTGGACATTGTGAGTTCGTTCTATCCTGGCGAGTGGGCTCCTAGAAGTGAGCCCTTGACCAGATGGGAAGACAAAGTGGGCAAGTTGGTTTGGCGTGGGTCCAACACGGGATGCCAGTGGACCAATGCAAACGATTTGCTGTGGAAGTGTGAGAGGGGGAGACTGGTGAAGCTGTTCGGCCAGAACAACAAGAATGCAACTCTGAAGGATGTTGGCGACGAGATGCGGGCGCACGGCCTACTGTCGGATCAGGACAAGTGGCCGTCGGGCAAGTGGGCGTCATCGCGTGTGGGAGACCTCTTCGATGTGGCCATGACGGGCTACGGGCAGTGCAGCACGCCATCCATTTGCTCACAGCTGGAGAGCGTTCTGGGGACAGCCAAGCCGATGCCGGTTGAGGGCTATTTCGATTACAAGTATGTCCTGCATGTCGATGGCAACTCGTACTCGCGCAGACTGGTCAGCCTACTGCGCTCGAACTCCCTTGTCTTCATCTCGGTGAGCAACCACGAAAGAGGGCCTTACACTCTCTGACTTTTCTCTCCGTCAGACGGCTTTTGAGACGTGGATGGACGGGTGGCTGCAGCCGTGGGTGCACTTCGTTTCTGTCTCTCCCTCACTCACGGACCTGCCTTCAAAGCTGCTGTGGGCACTGGAGCACGACGACGAGGCGCGGCAGATAGCCCAGACCGCCCAGGGGTTCGCTGCGTCCCATCTGCGGCCCGTGGATTTCTCCTGCTATCTGGCGTGGCTGCTGATCGAGTATGAGAGCCTTTTTAGACCGAGACAGCGGCCGAGAGACCCTGGGCCTTCCATGTCACAAGGCGGCATTCTAAGGCATCTGAAGATATCAAGGCCGAGCAGAGTTTGATGATGATTTCGTCTTGGAATGACCCTTTCCTGATGAAGCAGGGCAAGACCGAGACTTGCAAGAAATCGGCTTGTGATGTCAGTTGAGACGGTTGGCTTCGGCATGAATGGATGTGTGTGATCTCCCTGGCACATCGATCGTGTGGCAGCCTTCTGTCACGTAATGGATGTATGCTTCATGCAAGCGATGGAGTGTCGAAACATGACTACACAGGCAGGCGAGCATGCAGCACACCCGTGACCCCACGGCCACACACATGAACCAAACAAGAAGGTGATGAATGAAAAAGGCAGATATACACACATCAACGCCTACGCAGCATTTGTATACAGACAGCGTCACATCGAAGACAATACATCCGAAGCGGAAGGAACGGGCCATCGATGCACTCGCTCCTCCGCCTGCCGACTATCCTAATGCACTCACTGGCTACTCTCTCCGCTCCCCTCCGCCCCTCCACAGACAGCTCTCATGTCGATTGTGAGAGCACTATGTCGGCCACCGCACTCAGCCACTGCCAGCCATCCGGCACCTGAACACACACAGATACAACCAGGAGGGCAACGGAATCCAAACACTCATCTGCA